TATTACTATTTTAAATTTAAATCATATTTGAAAATTTAAATCAGGCATAGTTTTTATATGAAATTTTGACTATATAACCTTTATGGGGTCTGCAATGATTCCTTCTGCTCATTACATACTTTTTCACAAAACCATTATACCCTGATTTCCCATTTTCAATGGGTTCGAGTTCAAGAATACACAATTACTATTATTAATAATTATAATTTTTTCTTTCAGGCAAATTTAAAGCGTTAATATATTGACATTCAAATTGTTGTTCCATTCAATGGATCCTGATTAACGCCAGCTCCAGTTTCTGCTTCTAATCGCATCTTCGTCGTGTATGTTATCCAAAACTGAATGCAAATCAAAGTATAGCTCACAACTCCGAACAAAAACTGTCAAATTAGTATATTAGAGAAGGCCTTTTTATGATATATGAATCATAGCTCACTTTGCCCAACAAATTATTATTGATCGTAAGCAATCCGCCAACTGTGAACTCACAAGATTCCTGCCCGAGCTGCGCCGAGACTCGTAGCAATGCGGTATTCAGCTGCTCGTTGCGTCGATCCACCGATACTCCGTGGAAAACCGCTCGAAACTTGCGCTGCAGTTGATCGCAGCGGGTCCAGAACCAACAGGGCACACACATCTCCAACAGAATGAGAAGCTCCTCCGTAGCACACCCTGAGAGCAGAACTGAATAGATATAGACTTTATCCAGATGACGAGCCTACACAATTACCTACAGATCTGCATTGGAACATTGTTCGTTTGGATTCTGTTCACATAGGCCCAGTAGGGGTGCACCGAGGTGTCTATAAAGAATTTCAGCATCAGCACAATGAGAGCGCGCTCGAAGTATTTCTCGATGTCTCGCTGCAGATTCCAGAGCAGAAGATGCAGCTGCTGCAGACAGGCGATGTGCTTGAGGGGCAAACGGCGTGGGGACCAAGTGTGGCACCTCGAGCTCTCTAGCCTTGAAATGACAGCGGAGGCAGCCTCATACATCTCCTGGTAGATGGTCAGCACGAGAGCTGAGTGCAATGCGAACTCGCTGCAGCGCAATATGAGCACCACTTGCGAATAGAAGTTGGCGATGAGCAGCAGCGATTCGTTCGAGCTCGTATTGTTGTAAACTGTCAAGCCCAATAGAATGAGTATGCGGAACAACAACAAGCGAAAGACTCTGTTCGTGATCAACCGACTGCGAGCGGCATTGACCTTATGGCCAATTTTCTCATAGAGCACATTTTGTATGTGCGAAAACTGTGCCTCGATTCGACTGCTGCGGCTCTGCCAGATCAATTGGAAGGATATCACGAAATGGCTGACTGTCAATGCCACAAAATTGAGCAGGTCAAGCACATAGGAAACGGTATCATTCAGCCGGTCGTAGTCCACGTGGTAGTTGAAGGCGATGCGCCAACGGGATATTAGACAGAGATAGACTACCATGCTTCCAGTGTACAGCAGTCTCAGCTGCCGGTGTGGGCGTGGCGGCACTATAAGCGTCAAGCACATCAGCAGCCGTATGAAGCGCAGTGCCGAATTGTGCTGCTTGACTGGCACATCACACATGACTGAGGAGCATTCGTTTTGGGTTTTTGCGCTCGGCGACTTAAAAATCAATAGCTAATTGGCTAATTGAATTCGATGAGGTACTGACAGTCCCGCTCATTCGTTTAATTAAAAGCTAAAGTTGTCAAATCAAATATCAAATCGCATCAAACTAAATGAAAGCAATCAGAGATTTTCGAAATGATATTCGAATAGTAATTCAATTCACTTACGGCTGGATTTTTCAATATATGCAAATTGAGAAGCATTCAAATAAATATATAATTTTTTTGTTTCTTTTATATTTTATTTATGTGGCATGTGCTAAATGTAATATATCAACAAATTTCCCTTAGAAATTTTGTCATCAAAATAAATTCTTTAATAATGACAGCAGGACAGGGGAACTGTGCCTGCAATATCAAGGATATTTTGGTTTAGAGCGCAATTTCTATTTATACACACGACCAGCGGATAGCAGATAAAAAAGAAAACAAATAAATCAAGCATTTCCTTATATTAAATACTTGCTCTACTGAAGCTAAACGAAATGAAGAGCCTAAACGTTATGGCTGAGCTCTGAGTTGCCGAGCTAAGCTTAAAGATGCAAATACGCTTGACTTCCGTGCGCTCTTTGAATATTATCAAATCTATAAATAAATTCACCTTCAAAGGGGGCAGCAGCTCAGGTATTCGCTGGAGCAGCTGCGCCAGTTGATTGAAATTGTTTAAAGAGCAGCTGCGAAATGCTCGTCATTTAAAGCCTTAGGCCTCCTGTCTGTCGTCCGTCGGACGCATTGACATCCAGCGGCACAATATAAATTAACTTTTAATTAAAAAACTTTTTCTGATTAATAATTTACATAATGCCCTCATTGGCCTATTATCAATTTAATTATTTCAATGTTGGCGATTAGTCAGAATATAATAAAGCCGAAAAAAAGGCGAATGTTTTCAGAATTTGAATGATAATTCTAATAATATTAATTTTGAATCGTAAAGCGTGTTTGTATTTTGTAATAATTATGATTTGGTATTATAGCAAATTGTCATGAAGTGGTATTGTTATAGACAAAGTGAATTCTATTTATTCACTTATTTATTCAATTTATCTATCACAATAAATATGTGATGTGAATTATAAATTTGCTTCCGTGTAAGACTTGTGTCTCATTCTACATATATGACCACAAGAGCTTATAATCTTCAGAGAACAAAAAAGGAAAACTCTCCCAGTTTGATTATGTTGCTTATCAAATGATGTACACTTATTGAAGTCTCAAGTGATGCATTCAGTTGCTTTCATCTGTGCTGCCTGGACGCGCTGATAAGAGAGCGTTTGTTGTAATCGCTTTAAATGCCATTTAGCCCATTCAAATTGCCATCAAAGTGACGCCAACAAGTTGGAATCAGCCCCAGAGAGGTATTATTTGTTAATTTCATTACACCAAAAGCAAAACTCACTTAGATGTACGTACACACACACACAGAGAGAGAGAGAGACACACACACCAATGCACAGGCAAACAACCACAAAGAGCGACGAAATTGCTTATCAAAAACATGGGCAGGCGCTGGGAGTTGTGGTTGGGGTTTGAGGTCGGAGTCGTAACCAAAGCTGGTATAAGTGTCAAACACACACACACACACACATAGACATGTACATAAATTTGCATGTCTTTATTGCAGCTCAAAGCCAGAGACAAGCAAACAAACATCGACACACACACACACACACACACACATTGTAAGGGATATGGCATGCTGGAGTTATGCAACCACTGAAGCTTTCTGTTTGCACACTTATAAAACACCTATGGAGACGATGGAGCTCAACGCCTCCAGTTATTTGAGGTAATGACTTAATTGCCACGCTACTGCTGCTTAGCCCCTTACTTAAGCCACCCCTCGAAGCAAGCCTCTTCAGTTCAGTTTAGCGCAGCCAACGACACATCATCAGGTCTGCCTGGCTGCCTGCCTGCCTGCAATTGGGCTCATAATTTGTGCAGGTGTCGAGAGCGCTTTGTCTTTGATTGCGCGACTGGCGCGTCTCTAATCTCTGTCAGCCACAACGCAATCATCAACAGCAACAGCCGGATCTGTATTATCCTTTGTGCCAATACTGGGCCACTTAAAGTACAGCAAACATCTGGCGTGGCAGGAGGCTGGCTCGACAGTCAGCCCAGGACGGTGGCCCCGCGGTTAAATTGAAGCAATTGTGTGGCGTTGATTTGTATAATTTTGTAATTTGTATACCAAAACGTAGCCACACATGTGTATTTCCATTAGCCGTGGAGCAATTCCACTTTCCCTATGTATGTATAAATAAATTAACGCATACACATATTGCTATAACCTATGGAATGTCTAGGGGGGCTACAAAAATTACAATGCATCTAACTCAGTTAGAAAATATAATAAATATAATTTATTAATGTAATTTTAAGCAATAAAATTCATTGAAGTGAGAAACGAATCAGCTAAATAT